ATATATATATATCAGGGCTTGCTGAGCAAACTAAAATAACGAAAAGGGTTCCTTCTTCAGCGCCCCGACTGTATCACGCGAGCCCGCGCTCGTAACCATATTTTTGAGGCCGTGGCCCCCACGCTTTCCCCTCATGAGCACGGGCGGGGCTTCTTTGCGAAGCGCTCACCGCACCGGCGCTCGTTCCGCTCGGTCCCCGTTCCCCGAGGAAGGAGATGGGGGGGAGGGGGGAGCGGGAAGGAGGGCGGCCTCGGGGAGGGGGAGCGGGGAAGGAGGGAGGTCCTCGAGGCGGTGCGTCGCCTCGGAGGCCTCGGAGCCGGGCGGGCCCCCTGCCCATGGATAATTCTCCACCTGGCAGGACTGGCGGCCTCGACGCAGTGCCACCGTGGAAAAACAAATATCGCCGTCGCCGTCCTTGTCTGGAGGCTTAGGCTTCTCCTGGGCCTGGGGCCGGTGCGTGTGCATCCCTGGCGAAGGCAGGGGGGGGGGGCCCGCCGCGCCGCTCCTCGGCCCGGGACGGGCCCGGCCTGGGGCGGTGGGCTCGTCGCCCTCGGGAAGGGGGAGGGGGGGGGGACGAGAGGGGCGAGGGGTCCCGCCCCGCTCCCCCTCCTCCATCCTCCTTCTCCTCTCCTCCTCCTCCTCTCCTCCTCCTCCTCCCTCCTCCTCGTCCTCCCTTCTCCTCCTCCTCCTCCTCCCCTCCTCCTCCTCCCCTCCTCCTCCTCTCCTCCTCCCTCCTCCTCCTCCTCCTCCTCCTCCTCCTCCTCCCCCTCGTCGTCGTCGTCGTCGTCGTCCTCCTCCTCCTCTCCTCCTCCTCCTCCTCCTCCTCCTCCTCCTCCTCCTCCTCCTCCTCCTCTCTCCTCCCCCCGCTCCCCGTGTCCTCGAGGGTACGGGGGGCGGCGGGAGAGGTGCTTGCCTCAAGGGGGGCGGGGGGGGCGGAGGCGTCCTCTGGCTGCCCTGGGAGGGCGGGCGCGGCGTGGGCCCCGCAGGCTCCATCTACACCTTCTACGGGCCCGAGGAGCCCAAGTTCATGAACCTCACGGACAACTTCCTGAAGAAGGACCGCTTCCGAAGCCCGAGGAGGAGGAGGAGGAGGAGGAGGGAGGAGGGAGGAGAGAGGAGGGAGGAGGAGGAGGAGGAGGAGGAGGAGGAGGAGGAGGAGGAGGAGGAGGAGGAGGAGGAGGAGGAGGAGGAGGAGGGAGGAGGAGGAGGAGGAGGAGGAGGAGGAGGAGGAGGAGGAGGAGGAGGAGGAGGAGGAGGAGGAGGGGGAGGAGGAGGAGGTGGGGGAGGTGCAGGGAGAGAATACGGGAAGACGTAGTGCATCCCCTCTGCACCCGTCCCCTCCCCTTGCCTCCTTCCCCATCCTTCCCTTCCTTTCCTCTCGCCTCCCTGCGTTCCCGCTGCTCGCGCCCTGCACTCCCTCTCCTTCCTTCTTGCTCCCCCTCGCCTCCTCCCTCCTCCCCTTCATTCATTCCTCCTACCTTTTCCTTTTCGTCCCTCATCCTGCCCTTCCTTCTCGCGCCCCTCCCTTCCAGCCCCACGCCGTTCTCGCCGACGTTGTTGTCCGCCTCCAACACTCCGCAGCCGCACTGTACAACATTTCGTCAGATCGGACCCTCATGGACTCGCTCCCTCCACCCTTGCCTCGACACTTCTAGAACAGCATGATGCGACACCGCTCAACTCGACCCGCATCCGGCTCGACCTGATCCTGCCGCGTCCTCGACTGGAGGAGCGCCAGACTCCCACGTCGTCGTTTGCGCCACCTCGCGCACTCTCCCGCCTCTTGCCCCCCCCCCGCTGGCCGCGATCCCCGTGAGCGAGGGTGCAGAGCGGGCTGCCTCGACCGAGTGTTGAGGCGGGCTGCCGCGGCCTCGCGGGGGTCGGCTCGGCCCGAGCGGGTCGAGCTCGGCCCGCGGGCGCGCTGCCCCGCTCCGCGCCTCCCGTCCCCGAGGCCTGCGCCTCCCTGCCCTCTGGCCAACACTGGAGCCGCCGCTCCTCTTCCCTCCCGCCCTCCTGCCTTCGCGACGGCGGCGCCGCCGCCGCCGCCGACGAGCTGCCTGCCTCCGCTCGTCCTCCCACCCCCCGCCGTGCAGGACCTGCCGTTCGTGATGCCCGCCCTCGGCCTGGCCTCCGAGCCCATCCCCCTCTGGTGGACCACCGACTTCATCCTGGCCTCGCCGGTGGGCACCCCCTCCGCTGAGGACCTTGCGCGCTGCAGCCTCGTCAGCCCTCCTGTGGCATCGCCGCCGCCGCCGCCGCTGGTCGTCGTGGTCGTCGTCGTCGTCGTCGTCGTCGTCGTCGTCGTCGTCGTCCGTCGTCGTCGTCGTCGTCGTCGTCGTCGTCGTCGTCGTCGTCGTAGTAGCAACAATCGATGGTTCGGTGGCAAATCATGGGAGCCTGGCATGCCCTCTTCATTCCGTCTTTAGCGTCGATTAGCGTCGATTAGCGTCTGGGAGTCGATGAGATAGCGCCGAGGTAGCGTCGATCAGTTCGATTAGCGTCGAGTTAGCATCGATCAGCGTCGACTAACTAGCGTCGACCAGCGTCGATTCGCGTCGATTCGCTTGAGCCGACAAGATCGCATGGGAGGCTCTCATGAGTTGTCACCGAAGAGGGCGCTCACGGCCAGTGCAGAACTGGCTAGGCGCGGACGTGAAGGGCGGATCTGTGGCGGGCCGCCCTTCTCCCGAGACTCCTGCAGTGGCGCGCCACCGACCTCGACTCGGCGTCGCCCCATTATACTAATACTGTGCTTGCGTCTTTCCCCTGGGGTCGACGCGCGCACCGAGAAATCTTATATTCTGTGCGTCGGGGTGCTTTCTGCCCACACCGCTTGGGACATGAGATCCTACAAGATGGGTCTACTATATGTTCGGGTCAGAAGCGCGCCTCCAAGGAGGAAATAGTGTGTCCCATCGACGTCCACGCGTCGTAACAAACGCGACGGACGTTTGTTTGGTTGGTTTGTTTGGTCTGTTCTTGCGATTTTCGGCCTTTGGGGGTCCAGATATCTGGGGGCCACGTCGCAGATCGTGATTTCGGATGTCTGGAGAGGGGGGGGGAGCGAGGGGCGGTATCTGCAAGGAGATCCCGAGGTGCCTATCTTTCTTTTCTTCGGAGAGGTAGCGTCCGTTACCACCCCTTGCCTCTTCCCCCTCTTCCCCGTGACGGTCACGATCGCACGATTCTCACGCGCGCAGGCATGTCGTGGCGTTCGAAGGCTATTCCGGTGGCAGCGCGCTTTGCATGCTGTGGTGCTCGCGAAGGCGTACGGTGATGCTCGCAGGCATATTGCGGCGGCGGTGACCACTGGATATTCGTTGGCCCTCGTGGCGCTTTGGTGCTCGCAGGCATGCTTCTGGTGCTCGAAGGCATGCTGTGGTGCTTGTAGCGTAACGCGGCATTGCTCCGCTGTGGTGCTCGCAGACTATTGCGGAAGTGAGTGGTCTCGTGATTGGAGTCGAGTATGCGTGGCTTGCCCCCCCCTCTCGACGAGGGCGGGTGGATGTGGATGCCATCTGCACACTGCGTTCCAGTAGCAGGAGGATACTGAGGAATGAGAAGGACACATGCAACAGGACAAGGAAGAGGATGGAGGAGGAGAAGGAGGAGGGGGATGAGGATGGACGACAACGATAACGATGATGTCGATTTCCAGAGGCCTCCAGAGGTCTCCAGAGCTCTCTGGAGGCCCCTAGAAGCTTCCGGTGGTTCAAGCAGGGTCAGAAGTGTGCTAAGGTTCATAAAGGCTGCCTTTGTGTTCCAGCCTCGGTTGTAAGCTAAGATCTCGGAGTTCCTTGGCCAAGTGACGCAGCCATCATTCCGACGTGGACGTCCAAAGGGTCTCACATCTGTCATTCGTGTCCAAACTGGTCAGTTGTATTGTGTGGCTGGCGCTTCTAGTCGCACATACCTGATGGCCACTCCGCTTGTCCCCCTCCCAGCTTTGGCATGCTGGTGACAAAATCTTATGGCGAGTCTATCTGTGATTGCGGTGCTCACATGCACGTTGTGCTCGCACGCTCACTGCGGTGTTCACCAGCACGCTCTGTCGCTTGCAGGCTCTTGTGATACTGTTCCGCCGCACTGGCGTGCCTATTGCATTGATGTTGTGATGCTGCTCTGGACCTCCGAGGGCCTCTGGAGGGACTGCCGGCAGCCGCTGGGGGCCTCCAGATGATGATGATATCCGAGGGCCGCCGGAGGCGTCTAAACGTCGTCGTCGTCTTCGCCGCCGCCGACGTCGTCGTCGTCGCTGTCGTCGTCGTCATCATCTTCGTCTTCGTCGTTGTTGTCGTCGTCATTTTCTTCTTCGTCGCCGCCGCCGCCGCCGCCGCCGCCGCCGTCGTCGTTGTCGTCGTCGTCGTCGTCGTCGTCGTCGTCGTCGTCTTCGTCGTCTTCGTCGTCGTCGTCGTCATCATCTTCGTCTTCGTCTTGACCTTCGCCGCCGCCGCCGCCGTCGTCGTCGCCGTCGTCGTCGCCGTCGTCGTCGTCGTCGTCGTCGTCGTCATCATCGTCGTCGTCGGTGACGGCGTCGTGCGAATGTCACTTGTAATGTTGACGACCGCCGCGGCCACTGACTCCTTCAAGCTGTTTCTTGCCCCGCTAAGGATGCCGGTCGACCCGTCCTCAGTCGCCTGCCTCTTCTCAATCGGCTCCTTCTGCCTGCTGGCGCGATCGACGCCGCCCCCCCGCGCCCATCTGCGGGTGCCAGTGCGATTGCGGGCCCCCTGGCTGGCCCACTTCCGTGCTGTTCGCCGTCACGCTGGGCCAGGTCGCCACAGGGTTCCTCGTGGCACGCTGGTGGAGGGCGCCGTCGACAGGTGTCCCGCAGGTGCAGGTGGTGCAGGTTCAGCCGAAGTGCCTCAGTCTGCCGGCAGGTGCTCGTGGCCGTCTCGAGGGAGGTGAGTGACGGCCCACAAGATTCTGGAGAGCGGGCGCCGCTTCTGGGCGCTTTTCGACCGCGATGAAGGGGTCTGGCATGAGAGCTGGGTTTGCTGCCCACCACGGGTGGGCATGCCAGCGTCAGTCCCGACGGAGGCACCTGCGAGGAGCTACTCAGCGACTGCGTTGACATGCTCGAGAGCGGCGCCTCGGGCGGAGTGCCGAAACGCCTCTCTGGTAACAAGGCGCTGCGCTAAGCCTTCCGCAAGGACGACATCGCGCGCGACAGCGCCTTCCGCTGGCGGGCCGAGGCGCAGCTGGCGGGCCTGGTCGGCGAGCTGCCTGCCGCAGCTGACGTCGGGGCGAGCGCCCCGCCCCCGCTGCCGCCGGCCGAGAGGCCCGCTGCCGGCGCCGTGCTGGTGGGGCGGGAGCTCGACGACGACCCCGCCGTCTACGCTGGAGGTGCTGTTGGGCAGTGCCTGGTGATGGGCTCGCGCTGGTTCGCCGCGGAGACGGAGGGCAGCTTCCGCCGCGGGGAGGCCGTCGTGGTTGGCGCCTCAGATGTGGGGTTCGGGAGCTCAGGGCAGGCGCTGCTGCAGCGCGACGGCGTCTGGCTGCGCTTTTGCCGTGATCCACCGACGTTGCCCCCGCGTGATGCTGCTCCCGCCGCGGAGGAGGGCATCCGCACCTTGGCTGTGGCCTACAATCATCGTGGCGATCGCACTCGGAGCTGTGAGTCCGCCCCGAGCCTGCTGCGCGAGGAGCCGCTGGATGCCGCCTGCCCCGTCGTGGGGCCCCTCGCCATGCACTGGCTGGTGGAGGCGTTCACCAGCAGCGGGATGGCCCCCGTCCCTCGCCACCACTGGTGGCGCTAGGCCTTGGGCGCCGTCACCTCGGACCCTGGCATCGACGAACACCTCTTCCTTTCGGAGACGCTGCAGCGGGGGCTGCAGTGCGACCAGCTCAACGTTTGCAACCTTGCGCTCTTCGAGGGCGTGGCCCGCCGCTACCGGTTCTGGGAGGAGAGGTACGCAGAGCGCATTCGAGCCTCCTCCGAGGGCGCAGTTGCCGCGGCCCTCGCCGCGGAGCGCCGCCATTTCCTGGGCCGCTACTATACCGCCAGGCCCCGCGGCGGATCCCAGGGGTCTGGCCGCTGCCCGCCGCGCCGCCAGAGGGCCGCCCTGTGGGTGGCTGCTCAGCCCAGGCCTGGCTGCAGGGGGGCTTGCGGACCCTCGATGAAATGGGAGGGCGCGGCGCTTCTCGGCGTGCTGGGCCAGCGTCTAGCATCCGTGCCGACGCGCTGAAGCGGCTCGAGAGCTTCTTCAATGCCGTGCCCAGCTGCCCGTCGGACCTGACCGCCGAGTCGGCCACCCTGGCCGTCGTCGGCTCCGATCCTGGCTACGCCTTCAACGACGTCGCCAGCGGGACGTGCGCCACCTATCAGCGCGGGAAGGATTCGCTCCCGCGCGTCGCCTCGGGGGTGGTCAGCTTGGCAGACGTCCTGCCCCTGGTGGCCCGCTTTCTGCTGATGGGTGAGACTGGGGCCTTGCTAGTGATGGGCTCCGCAGCATCTACTTCCGCGTCGAGTGCGCAATTGGCATTTTACAGAAGGCTCGCGCGCGGATGGTGTTGGCCGGCTTGCTCGAGTGTTCGACGTGCTCGAGGTTGGCGACGCGTTCTCGCTGGTGCGCCCCCTTTTCGTCTACGAGAAGGAAATGCCCTTGGGCTAATCTTCGACGCCAGGGGCTCGAACGCGAAGTTCTCGGACCCCGGCAGTGTTCCCCTTGCAGCCTTGGGCACGGTGAAGGTACCACCAGGGGGGCGCCTCTATGTGGCGCAGGGCGACGTCACCTGCTGCTTCTACCAGTTCCTGCTGCCGCCGCACTTGCGGGGGGCCTTCGGCTTGCCGCCGGGGCCCTGGTCTGCGCTGCTAGCAGCGGCCCGCCGCATGTGGGGCCTCGCCCCGCCGATGGGCTGGTGCGGCTGCGGCTGCGCGTGGTGCCGATGGGCTGGTTCTGGGCCGTTTACTTCGTCCAGCAGGCCATGCAGCGCATCGTGGGCGCTTGCGCGCTGGCGGGTCGTCTGCTGGCTCAGCGCGCGCCTCGTGCCCTTGTGCAGCCTGGCAACGGCGTCTCGCTGATCTACATCGACAACTTTGCGGCGATGGCCACTTCGCAGGAGGAGGCCGACGACAGTGTGGAGCAGGTGCTGGCCGCTGTCGCTGCCGCTGGGGTGGGCGCTGGCCCTGGGCCGGGCCCCCCGCTGCTGGGCTTCGAGCTGGGCGTCGGCCAGCGAGTTCTGGCGGGGGGCGCCAGCCCTCCGCGCTTGGCTGGGGCGGAGCCCGCCGCGCAGGGCGGCGGATCGCGCGCGTGGTGGGGCGCGCCTCGGCCGTCGTGCTGCTGCGCCCCGAGATGCAGTGTTCTCCTCGGTCTATGTTTTCGTCGACCGCTTTATCGCCCAGCCAGCCCGTGTGTGGACCTCGGTGCGGAGGGGGCTGCGGGCTGCCTGGGCGCTGCCGCCGCTCGCCTTCGCCGACCTGGCCCTGCCTGGGTCGCCCGCGGTGGCATCGGTGGACGCCTCGCTTCGCGGCTTCGGCGTGACCGAGAAGCACTGGGAGGCTGAGGCTGTCGGCGCTGCGGGGAGGGCTTCGGGGCGAGGTCAGTGTCGCGCCGCCCTCCGCATCAGCCGCCGTCCTCGCGAGCTCGTGACTGGCGAGGTGGTGGGGCATTCCCTGCAGGGTGTGGTGGAGGCTTCCGGAGCAGCTGAAGGCGCTGGGGCTGCAGGCTGCCTTCCAGGAGATGCCCGCCGACTTGGCGCGAGGCGACGGTTGGCGCGTCGTTGCCGCGTGCCGCAGGCGCCGCAGGGGCAATATCCTGGCGCTTGAGGCGGAGGCGGCCATCCGGCAGGTGAGGCGCCTGGTCCGCGCGCGGGGGAGTGCCCTGCGCCGCCATTTTGTCCTGTCCGATTCGATGACATGGTTCCCCACCTCCTGCATGGGTCGAAATTCAGCTTGGTACTTGCTGCGCGGGTGCCGCGAATTTTGTGTTATTACCTTGGCACTCGGAGCGCGGGTGGCCCATCGTTGGGTTCCGTCAGAGTGGAACTCAGCCGATGAGCCCAGCAGAAGGTACGACCCGTCCTCGTCACATCACGGTCGTCACTTCGTCGCATCTTGCAAGCACAGGCAACGTGGGGTTCTTCAACAAGTCGGTCTGGTAGCAGCAAGCAGGTCACATCATCTACTGCGACATCTCGTCAACAACAACATCAGCCTGATCATGGTCATCAGCAGCAAGCGATACTACAACCTCATCAGCCTGAGCCAGCGCAGCCTATTCATCAGCACGAAAGTCAACGCGCGCACCAGCTGGGTCGACATCGTCACGCGATGCCATCTGGGCTTGAGGATGTCTACGTGGGCCCCATCGATGGCCTTGTTTCCCGCGAGCACCTCCACGCGGTCGCGATCGCCGAGGCGAGGTTGCGCGGGCTGACGGGCGCCGACGGCCTCCGCGAGCAGCTTGCAGCGGGGCGGGCCAGGGCTCGTCACTTCGCCGCGCCCTTTGCCGCAGGCCTCCCTGGCCCAGACGACCCAGAACCGCCTTGCGCTGCCGCGGGGGGCGACCTCGCTGGCGCCGCGGCCGAGGGCTCTGGGGGCCAGGACAGCGCCGCCAATGACGATGCCGCCAGCCTGGGCGACGACCTGGGCGCGCCCACAGGCCCCGGGCGCCGCCGACGGCGTCGCTTGCGAGCGCAGGACGCTGGCGCGTCGGCCGCTGCTGTGGCCACCAGCGCCGCCCGTGGACCCTTCGGGCCCCGCCCGCCCGCCGCGGGGGCGGCCGCTGGTGCCGCGCCGCGGCGAGACGGGCGCTGGCCGACGGGCGAGGCGCGCCTTGGCCCGACGGCGAGCTGGCTCGGCCCTGAACGAGGCCGAGGTGAGTGGCGAGGCGGCGCAGCAGCTTGGCTTCAACGTCAGCTCGCTGGCAGCCGCGGCGGTGACGCCCGCGACGTAGTGTAACTACTTGCAGGCTTTGTGGCGGCTGCTGGCGCGGCTGCGCCTCTCGCAGGCGCCGCCGCTGGCGGTGGCCGACTGGGGCCCGGCGCTGGAGCAGTGCGTGGAGTCCCTGCGCGACCGCGGGCTGCCGGAGGGAGACGCCTCGAGCGCGCTGGCCGCGGTGCGCTGGGCGCTGCCCAACCTGCCGCTGCCCCTGGGGCGCGGTCTCCCGCTGGCCGCGGCCGCGGTGGCAGGCTGGCGGCGCTTGGAGAAGCTTCCCTCCAGGCCGCCCGCGCCGCGGGTCGTGGTCGCGCCAGTGGCGCTGTGGCTGTGCGCGCAGGGCCTGGGGGACATGGCGCCCATCCTGCTGCTGACGTTTGAGACGTGCATGCGGCCGAGCGGAGGGCTCGACCTGCCGGTGGGGTTGCAGCTGGTTCCGCCCGTGCCGGGAGAGGCGGGCGTCTGTCAGTCTTGGGCGCCGTTGGCGCGGGCGAGCGTTCGACGTGCTCGGCAAGACAGGCGAGTTCGACAGCGGCGTCGCGCTTGGCTGGCCACGACGCCGCTTGGTGGAGCCTGTCACGCGGCGCCTGAAGGCCTCGCGAGCGGACCGCAGCCCGCTCTTCCGCTTCAGCCACGTTGACCTGCTCCTGGCTTGGAACCGCTGTCTTGCGGCCTCGAGCCTTCAACGCCCGCGGGGGGCGCCCTGCTCGCTGCAGCGCGGCGGGGCATCGGAGGGCGCGGCGTCGCTGTCCCACCCCCTTCTCGAAATCTAGAAGAGGGGGGGGGCGGCGGTCGTTTCGGAGCGCGCGCCGCTGCGAGAAGCGCGCCCGCCTTAGTGCGCTGATACATCTGGATCACCTCTTGCAGCAAGCTTGCGCGCGGCGCGCGCCGATGCCGCCGTGCTGAGACGCCGTGTCTTCCTATGCTTCTTCGCTGGTGCGGTTCCTGTCGGCCATCATCTCCGCGGCAAGGGCCGCGGGTGCTTGGTTTTCGATGGGCTGCTGGGGCCGCATTTTGACCTGGGCAGGAGAGATGTGATTCTCGCCGTCGCAGGTTGGGTGCGTGCTGGTCTTGTTCGGGGATTGTGGTTTGCTGCGCCTTGTGTCGCAGCGACCCGCGCCAGGGCCGACACACCAGGCGGCGTTCCGCCGCCTCTGCGCTCGTCCGTGCACTGTCGCGGCTTGCCTGCACTCGACGAGCGGTGCAGAGCGCAAGTGCGCGATGCGAATAATCTCATGGACTCTGGAGGCCGCCTTCAGCAGCTTGCTTGGGCGCTGGGCATTTGTTGTGACTAAGGGAATCCTCAGACGTCCATCCTGTGGGCTCCCATTTCCTTTCTAATGGGCTCTCGCGCGGCTCCGCCGTTGACGTTGACTTCTGTGCCAGTGGGGGGGGGGGGGGCCGTGCGCCAACGAACCCAGCTCGAGTTTCAACGCTGCGGTGTGCCGCGCCTTCGATATCGTGGCCGTGCGGGCCTTTTTGTTCTTTCGCGAGTCACAGACCTGTGCACATCCGTGGCGCAATGGTCTGTGCATGGTTCTCCAACGTTGCTGAATCATACCTTCCCGTGATAGCTAAATTCACCGGCGATGTACTCCTCCATGCTATGCGTCGCCGTGCTGTGACCACGTTCAGCTCTCTGTATTTGCGTCGCTCGCCAGAATACTGCATGGTGTGGTCAGGGGATTTGAGTCTCTCGGCGCGTTGTATCCTTCGCGTGCCATTCGCAAGAGGCATATCTCAAGCTTTTTTCTGCCTGCCCAATGCCAGCCCTCGCCTCGGCAGAAATTTTGTTGTGGATTTGAGTCTCTCGGCACGTTGTATCCTTCGCGTGCCACTCGCATGAGGCAGATGTCAACTTGCTGAATCCCAACGCCGTGCCTCGACTGACAAAACGAGCTGGCTTCAGGGAGGGCCATCATCATCGTCGTCGTCGTCGTTCGTCTTCGTCTTCGTCTTCGTCGTTGTCGTCGCCCTCGTCGTCATTGTACTTGTGGTGGTGGTGGTCGTCGTCGTCGTTGTCGTCGCCGCCGTGGCCGTGGCCTTGGCCGTGGCCGTCGTCGATGGCGCGTGTCTGAACCCGTGCGGGCGCCGCCGCTGTAACCCCTGCCGCCCCCTTACCGTGCCCATGGGCCCCCCCCGTGCCCGTCGTGGCGGGGCGCCAAGGTGGGAAGCTGCGGCCATTTCGGAAGGCGGCGGGGCGTTTCAGGAACCCCGTCCGACAGAGCTCGTCTTTCCGTCGTCGTCGTCGCCGTCGATGTCATCGTCGTCGTCGTCGTCGTCGTCGTCGTCGTCCTCGTCGTCGTCGTCGCTGTCGTCGTCGTCGTCGTCGTCGTCGTCGTCGTCGTCGTCGTTCTCGTTGTCGTCGTCGTCGCCGTCGTCGTCGTCGTCGTCGTCGTCGTCGTCGTCGTGGTCGTCGTCGTCGTCGTCGTCGTCGTCGTCGTGGTCGTCGTCGTCGTGGTCGTCGTCGCCCCTTCCGAGAAGCGTCCTGTGACCACGAACGAGGCGCAGGAAAAAATCCGAGAAGGCCCAGACGCCTTCCGAGTCTTCTGAGGAGGCGCGCCCCCTCTGCCTGCCCCTTGGGCGTGCCGCCGACCCTCCACCCCGCCCCCCGAGGGCAACGGACGTCACTCCTGGAGAGGAGCACGGCCGCTCTCGAGCCAGTGGGGTGGCGGTCGCTCGGGCCGCGGGTGGGGGCAATGGTGGGACCGCGGTGTCCAGCCCTACTTCCCACCCGTTCCCCGGTCCCCGTCGTTTCCCCTCGTGCTGCTCCCCTGCCTCAGCCTCCTCCGCCCGCACCCTCTTCCTCCGCATCCACACTCGCATCTGCGTCCGCAGTATCCACCTCGCCGTCGTTGTCGTCGTTGTCGTCGTCGTCGTCGTCTTCCTCCTGCATGCTTCTACTGTCATAGTAGTTTTCCTCCTCAGCGTGATACCAGCCCGCCAACCATATTGCCAAAGAGTTCACATTTTCCACTTCGTATGTGAGTGTATGCTTGTTTCTCCATCGCCGTCTTTGCGGCTCTCATCGATTCCTGTCAGCGTCTTTAACGGCTGGTGCCTTGAGGAAAAGTGGATCGTGGGCGAGTTCAATTGCTCATGCGTCGGCATCTCCAAGTGCCTGGCGGCCTACTGCAAAGACGACACTCCGAACGCGTGCTACACAGACATCACAGCGGAGGAGCCAGCTCTTCTCTGCTCCCGCTGCTGTTCCTCGTTTTCCCCGCTTCCGTTCCCCGTCACCTCCTCCTTTGCCTTTCCCCCCCCCCCCCCCCCCTCCCCCCCCTCTTTTCCCTCGCGTCTCCCCCTTCCCCCTCACCCCCCGCCCCCCTGCCTCCTCCTCTCCACCTTCCCCTCCCCCGCCTTCCTCCCCCTCCTCCCCCCCCCCCCTCTCCCTCCTTCGCACTCTCCCCCCTCCCTCGCCTTCTTTTCATCCGCTGGCTCTCCCCCCCCCCCCCTGGAAGCTCTGGGAGCCAGGACCTCGCCGAGGCGGACCGGTACGGCGTCCTCATGGGCCAGAAGGCGCTGAAGATCTGCAAGGAGGAGCCTTTTCTGACGTGGGAGGAGGGGGTCAGCGTAGGCTTGGCATCGCTCGGACGTGTGCATTTTTCCTTCGGCGAGGACCATCGAGGAGCATCCTTGATCATTTCGCGAAAAAACCACGCGCGAAACCGAAAAAAAACACAAGACATGGACGTCCGAGCGATGGCCAGTAGGTGGAGGAGGAGGCCAGCTCGAGGAGAAACTCTCTGCATGGCCGCAGAAACTTTCGAGGGTCCGTGCGGACTTCATGGATGGGCGCTGGACCCTCCCTCCTATGGCGCGCAGAGCGTGCCAGGGGATGAGAACGAAGAATGTTCATAATGGTACGAATCGTACAGTCGAGGTGCCGAAGAAGGAACCATTTTCGTTGGGGAGGGGCTCGGTCTGCCTTGATTGTTTAACAGTTTGCCTGAGGTTTTCCTGAGGTTGTTCAATGGGAGATCGAAGTTTAACTTATGTGAAAGAGGGGCCCCCGTTCCTTATTTAGGGTTCCTTAGGTCAACGCCCCGACTGTACTACGAGCAATGTTACGAGTAGAATATGAATGACCATTTGAAGATGCTGACGATGCTCGTGATGCTGATGATGAGGAGATCGGTAACGATCACTGCGATGGCGAGGCAGGAGGATGATTGTAGGAGCTCGTAGCTGCCGCCGCCAGCGCACCGCAGCCGGCAATGACCTTCCTTGCAACCGCTGCCATCCGATTTCCCTCCTCGTCCTCCGTCCTCACTGTCCTTCGGCCCGCGCCGTCGGCTCCAAACTCTTCTGCCAGTCCCCAGACGGCACACGATCGCTCTTCACGTCTCGGCGGCCGCTGACATCGCAGGCGCCAACTGTTTCACAGCAGTGCTAGTCCGCACGACCCAGACACAGCGCCATCGTTGGTCCCCCCGCGATGGGCCCGGGGCCCTGGGCCCCCAGGCAGCTCCGTGGGGCGCCGCGGTACCCCCCTCCCCCTGCGGGGCCCCAGTGGACCCTCCTCCTCCCGCCAGATGCCCGAGCGACACCCACACGCGTGCGACTTGACATAGGCTCGCATGCGCGGATGGCCCTCACTCCGATTTTGTTTGTTCCGTTTCGCTTCGCTCTCCCTCTTTCTCGCTGTATGTCTGTCTGTATGTGTGAATGCATATATGTATGCATGCATATATGTATATATGTATGTATGGATGTATGTCTGTCTGCATGTTTGTATGCCTGCATGTCTGTCTGTATGCATGTATGACTGTATGACTGTATGAGTGTACGGTTGTATAATTGTATGTTCGCATGTCTGTATATTTGTATGCATGTATGCATGTATGCATGCATTTATGCATGCATATCTGTATGAACGCATGCACTCATGCATACACGTGTGTATGTATGCATGCATGCTCGTGTATGCATGTACGTATGTGTGGCTGGCTGGATGGATGGCTGGATGCATGTATGTATTTATGTATGCATGCATGCATGTATGTATACATGAATGAATGCATGCATGTACGTAGGTAGGCAGGTCGGTATGCATGCATGTTCATCTATGTATGTATGCATGTATGTATGCATGCATGCAACCATGTATGTATGCATTCATGTATGCATGTGTGTATGTGTGGATGTGTGTATGTTTGTATGTCTATGGGTGCTTATGTGTACATGTGTGTATGTATTTGTACGTGAATGTGCATGTGCATGTATGTATGTATGTAATTAGGTTTGTCTGCTTGTATGCGTACATTGTTGTACGCATGCATGTCTGTCTGTCTGCCTGTCTGCCTGCCTGCCTGTCTGTAGGTGTGCATGTATGTATGTATGTTCATATATGTATGTATGCATGTATGTAGGGTGTATGTATGTATGTGTGTATGTATGTATGTTTGTATGTAAGCACGTACATCTGTCTATCTGTATGTGTGTTTGTGTGTATGTATGCGTGTATGCGTGTATGCATGTATGCATGTATGCATGTATACATGTATGCATGTATGCATGTACGTATGTATGTATGTATGTGTGTATGTATGTATGTACGTACGTACGTACGTATGTATGTATGTATGTATGTATGTAGGTATGTTTGTATACATGTGTACATGTATATGCATTGTTTGTTGTTTCTCTCTCTCTCTACATATATATGTATATTTATATATACACATACATATGTATATGTAGATATTTCGATGTATGCATGTTTTATGTTCCCTTTCTGCCTCTACATATATGTATATATACTTAATGACCTTCGGTCCATCCGGCCACCGTGCCTGCCTTATGGGTCAGAATCCTCAGGGATGCTTCTTGGGATCTCTTTGGACGAGAGGTCGAACTGTCCGTTCGGGTCCCCCATTTGGGCCCCCCTCTTGGAGCCGTCTTTGCGGCCTCTTGGGCCGTCTTGGGCACCTTGGACCGTCTTGCGGCTCTCTCGGGCCGTTCTGGGGTCCTTTTGGAGGCCTTTTCGGCCGTCTTGGGGTGATCTCTGGGACTTCTAGGGCCGTCTGGGAACGTCGGGAAGCCGAAATGGCGAGCACGCCAACAACCTTCAGATACTTAAGAAGGTATATGGCTTTGGCCTCTTGGGGCCCTCTTGGGAGGCCTCTTGGGGGCCTCTGAGGCCGGCCGGGGGCTATCTTGAGCGTCTTGGAGCGGTCTTTTTGCGTCTCGTGGCCCTCTTGGACTGTCTTCGGGGCCTCTTTGGGCCCTCTTGGCCCGTCTTGGGGCCCTCTCGGGCCCGAGACATCCATGCGGGAAGACGCGAGGCACCCCAGGGGAAGCGCGCCAGGCCCAAGGAGATTTGTGAATTTGGGGTCCGGGCCCCATTAGAGCCCTTGGGGTCGAGGATTGAGGCTCAAGGGATTGGGCACGGCGCTCACTCCGTGCCCAGCGGTAAAGTGCCGGATATGTATACCAGTGCATACATATATATATATATATATATATATATATGTAGTATGTCTCTCTCTCTCTCTCTCCCCCCCTATATTACAACATCTCTCTCCATATCTCTTATTTCTTTCTTCTCTCTCGCTCTCCTTTGTATATTTCAATATTTTGTATACCCGCCCTCTTCGCAGACGAAGTGGGCGGTTATCGAGGGCCTGGGGTATACATGTTGAGTGAGGCACGAGCAATGAAGAGCCAACAGTCTTAACACGAGTGTTGATTTTGCTTTCTGGCTTGTTTTTAACGTTCGGTGAGAGTTGTTATTTTTGCTTCCTTAGCTCGATGCTGCCCTCTCTCTGTCTCCTTCCCCCTGCCCGCACAATTCTCGTCTTCCTTTCGCCGCCCTGTGCCCCGCGGGTGCCCAGGACTTCTCCTCCTCCAAGCCCGTCGACATCACCTCGATCACCCGCGTCGCCAAGGACGACCTGGGCCTGCTGCCGCAGCCCTACGAGCCAAAGTGCACGCGCCCAGGGGGAGCGGGGAGCGGGGAGCGGGGAGCCAGGCGCGGGAGCGGGAGCGGGAGCCAGGAGCCAGGAGCCAGGAGCGGGAGCCCTGCGAGCCAACGTGCACAGGCCGAGGAGGAGCGGGGAGCGGGGAGCGGGGAGCCCGGAGCGGGGAGCCACGCCGGCGCGGGCCGCGCGAGTCGGCGGGGCCCCGCCTGCCCCCCGCCCGAGACCCTCCCACAGCAGAGCAGTCACGAGTGCTTTGGCTTGGCATCGCTCGGACGTGTGCACTTTTCATTCGGCGAGGACCATCGAGGAGCATCCTTGATCATCTGGCGACAAAAGCCACGCACGAGACCGAGAAAATAGCACAGTGGATGGACGTCCGAGCGATGGCCAGTTGGTGGCGGCCACAGTTTTGAGGATTCGTTTGAAGGAAGCCTCTGCAGGCAAGTAGTTGAGGCAGTTTGGATTCTTAGGGTCGCCTCGGTGGCGGCCACAATTTTGAGTCAGAGTGGCTGTCTCAAGTGTGGCCGTTTTGGTGCCGTGTGCACTTTCTCGTCGGGTCTTTCCGCTCCAAAAAAATCACGCGTGCTGGGGTCGGAGCGCGCTCCCACTTCGCAAACGGGAGGCGATCGCGCGCAGTCCCGCTTCCGGCGGCCTGGCGAGGCAACACTGCGCAGGCCGCGCTGGGGCGGAAGCGGCAACGCTTCCGATGTGCGCGGCGAAGCCGAAGCATGCGCTGCGATGACACGGCATTGCCACTTCCACTCGCAGTTTGCGCGACGTCCGCGCCCGTGCCGGAACGCCACTTCCGAGCCAAATGCGCACGGAGTTTGGACGAGCTCGGTAGCAAGTCATGGGAGCCTGGTGTACCCTCTCAATCCTGTCTTTAGAGTCGATTAACGTCGACTAGCGTCTGGGAGTGGATGAGATGGCGCCGATTTAGCGTCGGCTAGCGCCGATTAGCGTCGATTTGGCGTCGATGAGCGTCGATTTATCGTCGACTAGCGTCGATTCGCAAGAGCCGACACGATGGTGTGGGAGGCTCCCATGGAGTTGCCACCGAAGGCGAGGGCGACACGTCGCCGTCCCGCGCGGGCCCCCCCACCACTGGCGAGAAACAGGTCTGCACCGCGTCAAGGCGGGAGCGGTACTTTCGGGCGAGATCTGCGCGGCGCCGAGGCGAGAGCGCACTTTTCGTCCGCTCGCGCGCGACGGCCATGCGTTCGACAAATGTGGGCCGTGCCCAAGCGGAAACTGAATTCTCCAGAAAAATTGAGGGCGGCGCCGATGCGAGAACGACATTTCGGCCCCGTCCCATTCCTGCCGCACATTTTCCAGCATGCACGACGGAACGTCCATGTTGATGCGAAACCATTGGTTCGGTATGGAAGCACCGTTCGGATGTGAAACCGTTCGGACGGGAGCGCCAAGCTTGGGTGGCTATCGGCCTGGCAGGTGGCAGAGTGGGAGTAGATATTGCGATGTGGAGTACGGTTCGGAGTCAAGTTAGCAAGGTCGAGCGAGTTAGCGAGCCCCGCCGACTTCCCACCCTCCCAACAGCATAATCAAATGTGGCACAACTCAAATTTAGGATATGGGGATATTGTGATTGGCGCGCCGTGCCCCTCCGCCGAGTTGGCGAAGACCAGACTGTGCGGGCCGCGCAGGTGCGGGAGCGGCAGAACTTCCGATGGCTGCGGAGAAGACGTAGCGCGTGCCTTGTTGACGCAATTGCCACTGTCACTCACAACGTGCGCGGCGTTTTGGGAAGGTCGGCGTTTCGCCCGCTGTCGCGCGGCCCCGGTGCCGTTGTCGCTGTCATGCGCTTCAGCGGACGAGCAATCCGCCACGCCCGCGCTGGAACGCCACTTCCGAGCCAAATGCTCACGGAACTTGGGCGAGGGCGACGCGTCGTCTTCCCGCGCGGGCCCCCCCCAAATTGGCGAGTGACAACTTTTCGCGTCGTCAAGGCGGGAAAGACTTTTTTCAAGCGGGAACGAATTTTTTCGAGGCAAGAACGACATGGTCGTCCGGTCGCGCGTCGACGAACATGTTACAAGGAGGAGGCTCCGAGAACACTTGGAACCGTCTTGTGGCCAGGCGGTGGATATGGACGAGGCCCCGCCTCGCAATCTTCACGCTTAAGTCGAGCCTGTCCCTCCACAGGGGGGATGTTCAAAAATAGTAAAAAAATAGTCTGGGGACTATTTTTTGTGAGTTTTTTTTGGCATCTTTTGAGTATTTGTTGAACTTTTTTTTATTTCTCATCCAAAATCCCCCTGTAGAGGGACAGGTCCGACCTAAAGGTATTCCCCAATCTATCTCGATCTATCGTCGGCTATCTTGCGCCATCTTGGAGGCACTCTTGGGGCCCTCTTGGGGCTCTCTTGGGGGCCCGCTGGGGGCCCTGGAGGGCCTCCTGGGGCTATCGTGGAGTGCGTCGGCGAACGGAGGGGGTCGTAACGTTTGGTACTCCCCCCTTGGGGCCATCAAAAATCACCTCTTGGGGCACTCTTGGGGCGCTCTTGGGCCGCTCTTGGGCGCTCTTGGAGCCGTCTGGGGGGCCTCTTTCGGGCCCCTCTTGGGCCTCTCTGGGGCCATCTTGGGGCCATCTTGAGGCCTCAAAAGCGCATCGGAAGCGAAACGGCAAGAATTGACACTTCATTGCCTTTCGGTAGTTTTTTTGTTGTTGTTTGTCTTCTGGGGAGGTCCTGAGGAGGCTCCAAGAGCACTTGGAGTTGTCTTGTGGCCCTCGTCGGACTTCTTGGAGGTATGCCAGAAGCTATCTTGAACCATGGTCGGCTATCTTGCGCCATCTTGGGGGCCGTCTGGAAGCATCGGAGGGCCTCTTGAAGCCATCTCGGGGCTCTTGTGGGGGATCTTGGGGTCCCTTCGGGGCTTTTTTTGGGGGGTCTTGGGGCCTTCTTGGGCTCCTCATGGAGCCCTCTTGGCGGTTCCCTGAGAGCCCTGGGGGGCCTCTTGTGGCCATCTTGCAGGCCATCGACCACAAGGAGGGGGTTTTGGATTTTGGCCCCCCCCCCCCCCCCCCCTCCCCCCTGGGGCGACGAATAGCAGAATGTTGCGACGAGGCAGTGTTGCGACGAATGGCGGGGCCAGGGCGACGGCCAGATGAAGATTCCATTTCTTGGGTACGGAGAGCGACGCGAGCAACAGAACGCAAAGCGTGAGGAGCAGACGTAGTGTGTTGGGCGGAATCGTTCTTGAAGCACAGGTGGCACTGGGCTGGGAAGAAATGCAGATATGTCGCCAGAGAGGTTGGCGAAGAGGGCAAACAACAGAATGGCGTGAGTATGACTGGTGGTCGAGGCAATCACGCGGCACGCTGGCCGCCGGTCCAGTCCGGAGTCGACCAGGAAGGTCCGTCCGGTGGGAAGACGGCGTTGCCGCTTTTGCCAAAGACAGTGGGTGGGCAGCGTGGTGCGGAATGGCCAACTTGTTCGAGACCTGGCAAGGTTTCGAAGACAAATACGTCAAACACATGTGGCTCAATTCTTATACATTCGCCCATTCTTGCATCCATCCGTCAACCCTTCCGTCCATCCATCTTCTTCGTCGACGTTTTACCTGTGCAGCAACCCGGCCTCCCTGGAGGCCAGCGCGTTTGGCGCGCCTGCCGCCCTTGTAGGGTCGCCCCGCGGTGATGGCAGACTTGCGTTCCGTTCCACTCCCCTCTTGGGGCCATCGTAATCACCAGAATGGGCCCAAAACCTAAATGATATCGGCCTTCTCGCCGAGGCCATCTTGGGCCATCCTGGGCGCCCTGACATCTCACGACCCCTCCCCCCCAAAAAACCCATGGAGGGGGGTGGAGGGGATGGTATACCTCCAGGAAAGGAAGAGGTTTTTGGAAGAGGAACGAAAGATATCGTTCGACCACTTGGGACTCTCTCTTGAAAAATGAGCGCGGCGCCGAGACGAGCGTGATATTTCGGCCTTTCGCGTGGAATTGGCCGCCCCCTCCTCCTCCTCCTCCTCCTCCTCCTCCTCCTCCTCCTCCACCTCTCCGCCCCCTTCTCCGCCCCCCCCTTCTCCGCCCCCTCCTCCTCCGCCCCCTCTTCCGCCGCGCCCCTCATCCCCCCTCTCCTCGCCCCCCTGCCCCTCTCCTCCACCCTCTTCCTCCTCCTCCTCCCCCCTCCTCCTCCTCCTCCTCTTCCTCCTCCTCCTCCTCCTCCTCCTCCTCCTCTTCCTCCTCCTCGTCCTTTTCCTCCTCTTCCTCCTCCTCCTCGCTTCCCTTCCAGGTTCAAGGGCGCCCTCGCCCAGATCTTCGTGCGCAGCCAGAGCTACGGCGGCTCCGACAAGAGCTCCAACGGCCGCCGCCGCCGCCGCAGCCCGTCCCCCGCGTCCGAAGACCCGCCCCTCAGGGCCCCTGGGGCCGGGGCTCTGGGATGGCCGGGGGGGTCTTAAAAGGGGTGCTCAGAGACGCAGCTGCTGAGTACAGTGCCGTTTTTGATACATGTTCAGCGTGCGGATCATGTATTAAACATGCAGGGACTTAGTATTAAAAACAACGACGAGTTTACGCATACATTTATTCATGAAATAGTCATGCATTAAAATCCAATGTGTTTTTAATCACATGTATTAAAAACTGCCCTGTACAGCTGAAGCCGACAGAAGAACGGTGTTCCAAGGGCACCCTCTTGCGTCCTTGCCTCTTCGGTCATCTTCGGTCCGTCCTCGGCCGCTTTCGATGGCCAGCCCCGCTCGAGAACCTTCGACATGGACGTGGGCTTTTGCAAAGATGCTGAGTGACGCAGCTGCTGTCAGCCACGCGCAAAGGGGGCAGGGGAAGGGAGGAAGGCTTCTTAGAAACATCCCTGCTGTTTAGAATGCGCGGGTCTTGTCAATAGATGTACATAGGGCTGGCGCCTTCTAAGAAGCAGCCTCCTTCTACGTAGGCCAGAGCGCTGGATCTTGCAGGATCCTGCAGAGCCAGGGTTGCACTGACCCGGGCTAGCGCGCAGGATCCTGCAGGATCCTGCAGGATCTTGCAGTATCCTGCAAGGCCCGACTGACTCGGGCTTGCATGGACCCGGGTCAGCAGAAAGCCAATAGAAAGGTGCTAACGGACGCAGTTGCTGAGTACGAATTTGACGCCTACAGTGGAGACCCATGCCAAGAAACACCCTGCTTGCCTCCAGGGGGGCCTGGCTGGGTTTCTTGAATTTCGATGGTTCTGCTATGGAAAGCGTGACGTTCCCACACCAAAAATCGATTGGCGTCCTGGGGTCTCAGGGCTGGGCTTCCCGTGGAAGACTTCTTGTGGTCGAGCCCCTACTGTAGAGAGGTGCTCAAGGACGCAGCTGCCCGAGTACGCATCTTGACGCCCACAACATGCCGAGCTTGTTCATCTGGGCCCGGAGGGCCCGCCGCGCTGCCCACCAGTGGGCCGTCCTTGGACGCTCCGCGCGCGTCTGTGTCGGCCCCTGGCCCAAGGTGCCCCCCGGCTCTGCGCTCCACGCTGGAGCTCCGAGGGCGTGGTGCCCCTCCCCTTGCCTCCCTTCTCCCCCTCCCTCCCTCCCTTCCCCCCCTCTTCTGCATGCCTCCGAAGTCCCGCTGCCAGACCCTGGCCATGCTTCCCACATCTGCTGCCTGGCTGGCGGGCTGACTGCTCACCCGTGCCTCGCACAGGGCCGAGCAGCCGACAAGGCATGCTCGCGTGGCTCCCTCGCTCGCTTTGGGAGCTCTGGACCTCGCGGCGGGCCCTCTGCAGGCCGTGGGGGCCTCCCGGGAAATCCTGGGGGCGCTTTGGGCCGGGGGCAATCCTGGGAGCCCCCGAGGAGGTTCGGGCCCCCCACGGCGGTGACCACTCAAGCAGTGGCGGAGCGTCCTGGCTCGCCTATGGCCCTACCAAGCAATGTTCCAAGAACCTTTTGTGTGGTTTCCACGAACTGTTCTGAGAACATCTCTGGCGGAGTCCGTCTTGGTTTATCACGTCGGGTTTATGCTCTAAGAACATTGTCTTCGTTTTACCACATTTTGGGGTTCTAAGACCACTTCGTGGTAGTACTGTAGGAATGCCGGGACGGTCGGTCCCTGCTCAGACCACGCCGCGCGGTGCGTCAGTGGGGCTCTTCGGGGTCGCGGCACGGCCCGGGGTCTCGGGCCGTCTTTCTCCGAGGGCGCCTCGGGCGACCCGAGCCCGCGGCAGAGGCCGGGGCCAGGGCCGGGGGTGCGAGAGAGAGAGAGGGGGAGGGAGAGAGAGAGAGAGAGAGAGCAGAGAGAGGGAGAAAGAAAAGAGAGGGAGATATTCAAAGAGAGGGAGAGAGAGAGAGAGAGAGAGAGAGAGAGAAAGAGAGGGAGGGTGCGAGAGATAGAGAGAGAGAGAGAGAGAACAACAAAACAAAATAGGGAGGGAGGGAGGGAGGGAGCTGGAGCCGGCTGGGGGTCCGAGGTGGCCCAGCTTTGGCTCCAGCCCTGCTGCGAAGGGGGGCAGGGCCAGGGCCGGGGGTGCGAGAGAGAGAGAGAGAGAGTGAGAGAGAGAGAGAGAGTGAGAGAGAGAGAGGGAGAAGGGGAGGGAGCTGGAGCATGCTGGGGGTCTGAGGTGGCCCAGCACTGGTTCCAGCCGCCATGTGAAGGGGGGCGAGGTCCGAGGCTCTGGGTTCGATCCGTTTTTGTCGATCTTTGGTTGGTCTCCGCGGGCTGTTTTCGGGCCCCGGGGCCGTCGCAAGCACAGATGGAGGTGAGCAACTGCCCCAGATGGACCCTGGGAGGCAGGGACCGATCTGAGCGGATTTGGCCGTTCCCCCTCTCTCGGCCGATTCCTTTGGGGCCCATCCAATGCAGACCTCTGGCTGCCTCCGGAGAGGGAGGGAGAGGGAGCGAGAGAGAGAGAGAGAGAGTGTGTGTGTGTGCCACAGCAGAGGCCTGCGACGATCGATCGAAGCCTGCACCGCATGAAGATGCTCTTCCACGCGGCCCGAGCCGGATCTACTTTCAGCACCGCCTGCCATCGCGATGCCTTGGCACACGTAGAGTACTACAGCTGGCACTGCGCTCGCAGAGCGGCCCCGGAGACGGAGCTGGGAGGGCCCTCCTCCTCCTCCTCCTCCTCCTCCTCCTCCTCCTCCCTGTCCTCCTCCTCCTCCTCCTCCTCCTCCTCCTCCTCCTCCTCCTCCTCCTCCTCCTCCTCCTCCTCCTCTCTCCTCCTCCTCCTCACCTTCTCCTCCTCCTCCTCCTCCTCCTCCTCCTCCTCCTCCTCCTCCTCCTCCTCCTCCTCCTCCTCCTCCCTCTCCTCCTCCTCCTCCTCACGGCTCCCAGCCCAGCTCGGCACGGAGATGGGAGGGCCCTCTGGAGGGCCCTGGGAGCGCCCCTGGGCGGCAGCGCCCCGGGGAGCGCCGCGGGAAGGCCCCGGGCCGGCCGCCCGGCCACGACGACAGGGGCTCCCGCTCGATACTCTCAGGAGGGGACCAAAACACACAGACACAACGAGTCGTCGATCCCCCAGGAACTGTGGGAAACTATGGGAAGTGGGGGGGAAGACAAGAGCCCAGAACGTGTGAGACACTATGGGGAATTCCTGATATTCGTGCGTATTTATGTGTGTTTCCCAGGGCCCCTTCAGACACGCCCCCACGATGCCCTCCGAGAAGCCCTGGCCCAGAAGGCCCCCAAACTCAGGAACGGCGCGCTCGCTCGAGGCTTTCCCGTAGTTCGGGCGAGCTGGTGGAGGCCTGGACACGGCGACGAGGGCTCCCGTTCGATACTCCTCCACCGGCACTCCGAGGGCCCCTGGCCAGAGAGGCCCCCGAGCTCCGGAACGGCGCTCTCGCTCGAGACTTCTTCGCACCCCAGTCAGTGGCCGACAAGGAAGAGATTCCCCCCGAAAGGGGGTGCAATCGAAGACGAAGTGGGCGGGTATCGAGGGTTGGGGTATATGGGGTGCAAGACACGCGTGCCAGTAAGAGCGAACAGTCTGAACATGATTGTTGTTGGGGCTGTTGTTGTTGTTGTTGTCGTCGTCGTTGTTGTAGTTGTAGTTGTAGTTGTAGTTGTAGTTGTAGTTGTAGTTGTAGTTGTAGTTGTAGCTGTTGTTGTTGTTGTTGTTGTTGTTGTTGTTGTTGTTGTTGTTGTTGTTGTTGTTGTTGTTGTTGCTGTTGTTGTTGACCTCTCATTTCTGAAGCATAACTATTGGTGATCCCCCCCCACCAGTGCATACTGTTGTTTTCAATTGAAGTGCCCCTCCCGGCGCTCGCACCCTGTTTTTTATCAGGGAAAGTCTTGATGCTCAAACTGGGCCCCTGGCCCCCGGGTTACAACAACAACGCTCCCGCTTGAGACTTTAGCCAGGACCCCCGCTCCCGCCTGAGACGTCCTCGCATTTTATTCAAGAATCGCGCTCTCGCTTTGGATTTCCTTACAATTTCTTCAGGAATCGCTATCTCGGCGCTCTGGAGTCGCGCTCTCGCTGGAGACGTGCTTGCAAATTACTCAAGAATAGGGCCCTTGCGTTGGAATTTCCCACAATCTATTCAAGCGCCGCGCTCCCGACACTCAGGCGCTCAGGAGTCGCGCTCACGCCTATGACTCCCTCACACATTATTTAGGAATCGGGTGCAGCCCTTCGTGGCCCCCTCGCTACCCTTCGTGGCCTCGTTGCAGCCCCTCGTGGCCCCCTCGCTGCCCTTCGTGGCCCCATTGCAGCCCTTCGTGGCCCCCTCGCTGCCCTTCGTGGCCCCCTCGCTGCGTTTCGTGGCCCCGTTGCAGCCCTCCGTGGCCCCCTTGCTGCCCGTCGTGGCCCCGTTGCAGCCTTTCGTGGCCCCCTCGCGGCCCTTCGTGGCCCTGTTGCAGCCCCTCGTGGCCCCCTCGCTGCCCTTCGTGGCCCCGTTGCACCGTTGCAGCCCTTCGTGGCCCCCTCGCTGCCCTTCGTGGTCCCATCTATGTATGCCCTTCGTGGCCCCCGCTCGTCCGCGCCCGTCGTGGCCCCCTTTGCATGCACTTCGTGGCCCCGCTGTCGCCCTTCGTTGCCCCCTCGCTGCCCTTCGTGGCCCCGTTGCTGCCCTCAGTGGCCCCGTTCTTGCCCTCCGCGGCCCAACATGCGTATGCCCTTCGTGGCCCCTGCTCGTTCGCGCCCGTCGTGGCCCCATGTGCATGCTCTTCGTGGCCCCGCTGTCGCCCTTTGTGGCCCCCTCGCTGTCCTACGTGGCCCCGTTGCTGCCCTCAGTGGCCCCGTCGTTGCCTTCCGTGGCCATATTATCTGCCCTTCGTGGCCCCCGCTCGTTCGCGCTCTTCGTGGCCCCATACGCATTCTCTTCGTGGCCCCGCTGTCGCCCTTCGTGGCCTACTTCGTGCCTTTCGTGGCCCTGCTAT